GTTTTCTGTGTATGAGATCATATCATCTGCAAATAGAGATACTTTTACTTCTTCCTTACCAGTTTGGATGCCCTTTATTTCTTTTTCTAGCCTAATTACTCTGGCTAGGACCTCCAGCACAGTGTTGAGTGAGAGTGGTGATAAAGGGCATCCTTGTCTGGTTCCTGTTCTCAAGGAGAATGCTTTCAGACCTCTCTCCATTTAGGACGATGTTGGCTGTTGGCTTTGTATAAATGTCCTTAATTATGTTGAGGAATTTAGCCAGCCATTTCTTACTCTCCTTCTTTTTATCACAGAGTGTAATGCCAGCCAAGATGGGCATTTCTATTGTGATTGTCTCTCTGAGTACCAGTGGAATGCCAGTGTCTGCTCCCATCACCCACCCTGCCAAACCTCCCATAACCACCAGCCTTGTATCTGTCTCATCTTCAGCCATCCTGAGCCCACCTACTGTCAGTTGCTGCTAACTGGTGAGGAGGGTTGGGAACTTGAAAGCCAATAGCCCCATGTGAAAGAAATTCCCTCTGTTGTTTGCTTTTTTTCTCTTTGAACCCCATATTTCTGTCAGCTGGCTCAAGCCCAGCTGTTCCTCTGGATAGGAGAAAATTCCAGCTGTCGCAGCGGTTCACAGGCCCTGAGCTTGAGACCAAAGCAGTGAGACTGACAAATGGGCAACAGGGCCCCAGGGACATCTGGATGGGGGAGAAAGTGCTAGAGTGACCTAGGAGTCCAGGAAGAGATTTGAGCAGCCCCAAACCACCAGGGGGAGAGGAAGTCATAGGCCAAAGAGGTTCCTTTTTTTGGTTCCCAAGGACAGACAGGGTCTCCCAGGCTGGGCTGCAGCAGCTACACTCAGATGCCCATTCAGGGAAGAGAAAATGCTAGGTGGGGAGGAGTGAGGAGGGATGGGCTTCAACAGGTGGGGAAGGGCCATGAGTCCCTCCAGGTCATATCCTGCTTCCCTGCAGTCCCTGGGAAGATGAGCCCTGTCAAGGTCTCTGTCTCTGTCACCATCATCCAGAGTACTTGGGGCTCTGGGATCCAGTTGGCCACCCTCTCCCCTGGCAGGGGCAGCAGAGAGCTCCCTGCTCGCCCTGGGAGCAGAGGGTTCCTCCTTGGGGTTTCCCTGCCCTGGCAACAGGGCCAGCTCTGGAGCCTGCAGCAGCTTCAGCCCAACGAAAGGCTGGATTGTGATTGCTGAGTACTGCCTAATCATCACTCTTCAGACGGAGACACCATTTGCCCCAAGGACTCCTTGGCTGTTACCTGGAATGTCACCAAGGCTGGCTATGTGGCCCAGGCTCCGTGTCCGATGGATAAGATTGGAATGACAATGAGGTCCTGTGGCCTTGACGGGGTCTGGGGCCCATCCGCAGCAGCTGCACAGATGCCAGTATCCTGGCCTTTCTTCATAGAGCCAGGGTAACGTTTTTGGCACCACTGCCCACATGCTACCCTCCCTCTTCCTCCCTTAGGTCCCAAAGGTTTCCCAACTTTACAGTCCTTTCCCCCTGCATCCCAGCATAAAGCCCCAGCTGCTCTGAAATAAAGCCCTGGCAGAGCCAAGAAGTAGGGGTGAGGGCCTTAGAGTGGCCAGCACTCCCCCTGGGGGCTAGCCTTAAACCTCAGTCCCATCAAATGTCTATCCTGCTAAGATTGGTGTCAGTGCCTTTCACGTGGCTCCCTCTCTGCTTCCTGCTCCCTCTGGGATGGGTGTGGGCATGGTGGGGAGGCAGCTGGGACAGGAGGAGGGGGTAGCCCCTCCCTTGTGGGGATGCTCCCAGTATCCCACCTTCCTACTGTCTGGTCTGTTCAGCTGCTGCGGGCAGGCCAGGGCCAGCCTACTGAGGAGGTGCCACAGCTCCTAGAACAGCTGCCAAAGCAGGCAGTGGGGATGAGCTCACCCTCAGACTTACTGGCACTGCTGGACACCATGACCTTCCTGGCTGAAGTGGTGGCAGAAGCCAGAATGCAGCTTAACCACAGAACCCTGAAGGTGACACCTTCTCGCCATAGTGGGGGCCAGCTGGACAGTGGGGGATGGAGTCTCCTCACCTATGGGCTCTTCTGTTCCTCTGACATCGCCACAGGCTATCAGGCGGCCCTTTCTAGAGTCTGAGTGTCTGTTCCCCTAGTCCCTTTCTCCCTTTGGACACCTGTCTCCAAGGCCATGGGGTGTGGAGAAGGCCTGGTGCTGGGCTTACGTGGGGAGTTGGGGAAACGCAGGAAGGGGTATGAAGACGTGAGTACAGAGGCATCCATGCACACGCAAACATGCGGATATGACGTGATGACCCCCCTCACCCCAAACACAGAAAGTACCTACATGGAGATCATCAAGCACAGGCAGGTTTGCTGGATGCACCTAAATCAGCTCTCCCTGTGGGCTTCAGTGGGTGACCCATAAACTACAGCCAAAAGAATAGCCAGAGGCAATGATATCACACCCCCTTCACGTCTGGGAAGACACATCCCGTGTGGGTGCACAGCCGTGCTTGTGGCCTGCCACTTCAGAACATCATGCCTCCACCACAGACAGCACCCTCCCTAACTTTACAGATCTATAGAGGTCTTCTTACCTGGGGTGGCCCAAGGGATGGCCCCAGGGCTTTCAGACAGAGGGCACAGGAGACCATGTGCTTGGAGATGCCCCCAAGCAGTTGGCTCAACAGCTCCCATTCTTCCTATCTTCCTATCCCTTCACAGGCCCTCTTCCTCTCCTCCTTTTCTCCCCAGTGTTGGGTGTTGCACTGGACTAGGGAGGGTAGGTTTCTGGGTCTTTAGTTTCCAGCACCCTGGCTCAGTGCTATGGGCTCCTCTTTGTTGGGTGCTGCAGGATCTCCTGATAGGCACAGACAAGATCCTAAACTTGGACACCAATTCTCTGTGGACCCCAGCTCAGACCCAGAAGTCCTTGGCAAGCTCAGCTCTCCTGCTGGCTGTGGAGACCCTGGCACATAGCCTGTGCTCACAGGATCACCCCTTCTTCTTCACCTCGTCTACCATGCAGCTGCAGTCCCAGCTCCTTGGACCTACATTTCCTGCTGACTGCAGGATCTCTTTCTCCACTCAGCCCCCACTGTGGGCAGAGATTTCCAGGCACTCACTGGCCACACTGGTCCATAGCAGAGCCAACATTAGTATTACTAGCCTGGTGCTGCAGAAACTGGACTACCTTCTGTCCTCAAACTATGGACGAGGGCTGAGGGACTCCCTCTATGCCACTCCTGGTCTGGTCCTCTCCATCTCCATCATGGCAGATGGCCAGGCCTTCAACCAAGGAGAGGTCATCGTGGACTTTGGGGACAGAAATGGCGCCCCCCCACTGTGTTTTCTGGGACCATGATCTCTTCCAAGGTGATGGGGGCTGGTCGGATGAAGGGTGCCAGGCACAGGCAGCTAGGGCCAATTCCACCACTCAGTGTGTCTGTCAGCATCTCACTGCCTTCTCCATCCTCATGTCCCGACGCAGTGTTCCAGACAGCCCTACTCTGGAGCTGCTGAGCAAACTCAGCTTGGGGGCCTCCATCCTGGCACTGCTTGTCTGCCTGGGCGTGTACAGGCTTGTGTGGAGAGTCGTGGTACGGAACAAAGTTGCCTACTTCTGCCACGCAGCCCTGCTCAACATGGTGCTCTGCCTGCTGGCTGCAGACACCTGCTTTCTGGGAGCCTCGCTGCTTCCCCCAGAGCCCCACAGTCCACTCTGCCTGGCCACTGCCTTCCTCTGCCATTTCCTCTACCTGGCTGCCTTTTTCTGGATGCTGGTACAGGCCCTGGTATTAGCCCACAAGCTGCTTTTCGTCTTCCATCAGCTGTCCAAGCACCAGGTATTCCCTCTGATGGTGGTCCTTGGTTATCTGTGCCCACCGGGATTTGCAGGGGGTGCCCTGGGCCTCTACCTACCCTGGGGGCAATACCTGAAGGAGGGGGCATGCTGGCTGGATGAGAAGGGAGGGGCACTCTATACCTTCATGGGGCCAGTGTTGGCCATTGTGGGCATGAACGGGCTGGTACTAGCCATGGCTGTGCCGAAGTTGCTGAGACCTTCACTGTCAGAGGGACCTCAGGTGGAGAAGCACCAAGCCCTTCTGGGGGTGATCAAAGCCCTGCTCTTTCTCACGCCCATCTTTGGCCTCACCTGGGGGCTGGGCCTGGCCACTCTGGTAGAAGTCTCCGAAGTCCCCCACTACATCTTCACCATTCTCAACGCCTCCCAGGTGGGTGATAGGATGGTGGCTGTTTTTTGCCCTTTTAGGTGTTCTAAGTCACTGCTAGTCCCTTCATGGTGGTATCATAGTGGAGCAGAAAAAACATGTTATTGTTGGTGGTGGTGGTTGTCATTGATTCCAACTCATGGTGATCCCATGTGTGCAAAGTAGAACTGCTACGTAGCATTTCCAAGGCTGTGACCTTTTGGAAGCAGATCACCAGGTCTTTCTTCATGGTGACGCTGTTGTTGTTGTTGTTAGGTACCATCAAGTCAATTCCGACTCATAGTGACCCTACAGGACAGAGTAGAACTGCCCCATAGTGTTTACAAGGAGTGGCTGGTGGATTTGAACTGCCGATCTTTTGGTTAGCAGCTGAGCTCTTAACCACTACACCACCAGTGCTCCAAGGTGACGCTGGGTGGGTTCCAACCGCCAACCTTTTGGCTAGTAGTTGAGTGCTTAACCATTTGCACCACCCAGGGACTCAATAATATGTTTCTTATAGGCTTGAGAATTTTAGAAGGCTTAGGTTTGGATCCTAGTTCTTCCACTGCCTGGCTAGAAAACTCTGGACACATCACATAACCTCTCTGAGCTTTGGTTTTCTTGTCTGTAAAACAGAGATACCAATAAATACCTGCTCTGCTTGCTCTCCAGCTTGTGAGCTCAAAAGTTTTGTGAACTCTGAAACCCCTGCATTGGAATTAAGAAGGAGCTCAGATCAATGTAGCTGGAGGAAGAAAGGGAGAGGATGATAATGGCTCCTGGCTCTGGTTTGGCCCTAGTCAGCGTCCTATGCACTCAGCTTGAACTACCCTCCCACCTTGTCTCCTACGCCCGCCCTCCTGCCCTTCTTTGCCCAGGGGCTCTGTGTTCTTCAGAGACAGCAGTGACTTCCCTCGAGCCCCACTGTGGTGAGACTGCCCAGGAGAGGCACATTTCTGGAAACCGGGAACAGCTATCGCCTCCTCTTGCCTCTCTCTCCCCCCTTTGGGACTTATATTGGCATTATTCTTTCTTGTTTGTCTCCGTCTCTAAGGAAATTTGCTTTTAGCTAAAGGAATTCCCATGGGTCTCAATCCTGCCTCTTCCCTTCAAATGCTAGAGGCAGATTTTTAGGTGGGGAAACCAAAGGACAAGAGGGTCACTAGGAGTGCAGGTTATAATCGGCCCCAGGAATTTGATCCTGAGTACACTCACTGGGCTGCTCCCTGCTTCTTTGGAGAGCTGGAGCCAGAAACATGCTCATTCTTTCTTCATTGCCTGCCTTCTCTGCAAAATAGCTCAGTCTCTAATTCCATCATAAGGGTGAATGAGATCGTGCCAATCATTAACATCAACAGTTATTCATCTGAGAACTCACTCTAGAGGGTTATGTAGCAAGGAGAATAACACTAAATAGAAGTCATACATGTTCTTAACATGTGCCGTGATCTCACTGAATCCTTTCTACAACCTTGTGAACGAGGAACTATTCTTATCCCCATTTTATATGTGAGGAAACTGAAGTGCAGAGAGGTTCATAACCTGCTCAAGGTCACACAGCTAAGCAGGATGGAGTGGACTTGAACCAGGTGTGACTGATTCTGGCCCATGCTCTTCACTACATCACCTCAAAGAGAAGCCAGGGAACTTCAATACCCAATCCTTGGATAACCAGTTTGCAACTTTAACAGTAAAAGAAGAGTAAAAAAAACACCAGACACCAAGGAATGGGGGAAGAAGGGGTGGGAGGAAAATCATCATTAGTGTCCACTTAAATTTGGTGAATTGTATTTTATGTGAATTATCCCTCAATAAAGATTAAAAATAAACAAATAGAAAGAAGGAAAGAGTTTGGATTACAAAAAGAAAATCACCAGAAATTGATCCTATGCACCAAACGAGGCTAAAGTACAGAAGAAGAGAGATGGGAAGCCTCAGGACATGAATTCAACAAGAGGAGGGAGATTAAGGCAAGAGGGGATTTGGGCTGATTGCTTCCTCCTTGACCAGCTTTTCCCTAAGTCCCTCTTCTCAGGGTGTCTACATCTTACTGTTTGGTTGTCTCATGGACAAGAAGGTGAGTCTGCCTGCCTAACCCTCTCTTGAGCTGCAGTCTGAAAGCTGGACTTGCGCTGACATAGCCGGGGCACTTACCTCTCCTGCAGGTACAAGAGGCTTTACTCAAATGCTTCTGCTGCACCCTGTCCCCAGCTCCACCAGCTTCCTGGTGAGTTGCTGGCTTCAAAGCCTCAGTTCTCCCCCTGATAGCAGGTAGGAAGGAGGTGTTCTACTCTCTTCCCCAGGGGAAATGGGCAGAGCCCAAAGCCAAGGGCTGTTGTTTAGAATGGGCAGGTTTCAGGTTCAAGCTCTCCAAAGAGGGAGGGAGCAGCCTAGTTACGGCACTCAGAATCCATCCACATTCCTGGGTTCCTAGTCACAACCTGGGCTCCTCCTGGCACTTGTCTCTTCATTTTCCAGTTTTTCCAAGCCTCCAGTTAGCATTTGAAGGGAAAAGGTGGAATCCATACACATAAGAGCTACCGTAACTGAGAGCAAAGTTCCTAGAATCACTGCAGCCCAGGAGGAGGGCACATGAGAATGTGAAAATGGGCACTCTCTCTCCAAAGGAGAGCTGACTATAGGAATCATCGCCTGCCACTGGGCCTCTCCACCCCTTCCTAGGCCACAAACGAAACCTGCTTCTCAGAACATAGCAAGGGAAGAAGCAAAAATGCCAGGTGAGAATTCAGCTTTCTTGGGAACAGGCTGAGCAGTGTGGAGTGGGATGGGTGTAGCAAAGGGCTTCTGGCAAAGCTCTCAACAGAAGTCTCCTCTGCATGCACCTCTCCAGCCCACAGGGTAGAGAGCAGGCTTTTCCAGGGCAGGCATTTCTAAACGGGCTGGGGAAAGTGGAGGCCTCAGAGAGCAGATGACTTGAAGAATCTTCTATTGCTTTCCCAGAGAGCTGGAGGGAGTTTCACCACTACCAATCCCTGATTCAGTTCACTCTGAAAATTCCTTTCCACACTGTCAAATTCTCAGTTGTCCTGGAAAACCTTAGGGAAGTTCTTTATGTTCTTTACTTAAAGGAATTGCCAGTGGTGAGCTTGGCATCCAGAGGGTAGAGCACCCTGCAGAGGTGGGGCAAGGTGGCCCAAGAGCTTCAGGGCATCTCTTTCACAAGGAAGGCAGAAGCTTCTGAGTGACCTACACAGAGAGCCCATGTTCCTGCAAGGCAGTTGAGGGTGTGTGCCTGAATTTACCACGATGGGCCCTGGCTCAATTCTCTGAACCCTCCCCCAACTCAGAGCTCAGCCTTTGGGAAAGGCAGGCATATATTTCTATTAGTCACACTCATTTCTCCTACAGCTCATTTGTCCCCTCCCCGAAACTATCCAAGCAAGAATAGCATGAAAAGTTAGCTAAAATCACCTAATAAGCCTGCCTCTGCTGTAAAAATAATCAACAGATATCAAAGTTCAAAACAATTGCAAGTAATACTGCCTGAACCAGTTTCTAACTTATGCAACAATACATGCTACATATATGTTTGATGAAAATGGTTTTAACTATTCAGTGATTTCTGATTATTTTTTCTCGATAGTTATGAAGAAAGCATGACTTGACAGGAACTCTGATAGTCCATACATTGGCGGAGAAGGGCAGAATTTGGTTTGTTTCTTTTCAAAGTTTAGAAGAAGGTGAAGTTAATAGGTTCTTCTTTCTTTTTTTAAAAAAAATGAATGCAAAGTGTAAGTTTCATAGACGTATGCATGTTTACAAAGAGACACTCATAGGAGCACATTTGTAAGAATGCATAATACAATTCTAAAGTAGAGGGGAAGGTACCACAAACTGCCGAGAATTAAGGGGAAAAATTGACACCCACTAACATTTAAAAGTGACAGGATCAAGCTGAGACTAGATATAGAGAAGAAAGATTCAAGAAAAGCCTTTCGAGGACACCAAGACACCTGGCTGAATTAACTTAGGGAATTCTGAGGAGGAAGGTAACAGGATTCTGAAATTTTTCAAACTAGCTTTAAAAATTCTGATGAATCAGGCTTTGCTAATTACAAAATTTATGAGTTTTTAAAAATGAAATGGAATGGGAAATTTTTCTCTTAAAATAAAAATGCATATGCTACTACATACCATTGAGAACATTTTTCTTACAAACATCATACTTTCATGTAATGATTTATATATTTTGTGTATAAACTGCCAAAATATTTCCTTAAATGGATTCAATAATTCTTTCAAATAGAAAATACCACTCCCAGGGCAATTGCAATGTTTCTGTTCCCTCCTGTTTGTTCCAGCCCCCAAACGGCAGGCAGCTATTAAAATAGTGAAGATTCTGCCTCGCTGATTTCCCCTGCCACATAGTCCTGTCTCAATTCTACTTTATTTCACTTTCACTTTATTAATATTTATGGTCTTAATTTTTAAAATTATAAAAGCAATCATTTTTGTCTACAAACTCAAACAATACGCTCTTTTACTCTGGAAGCAGCAGAGACCCTTTTCTGAGTGTAGATGTATTCTGGTTTTCCTTCTCAAATGACTGCACATACTCAATGCTTGCTCTGCTGGTAGAAACACACATTTGGAATTGATGCATGAAATGACAGTAAGCCTTTGTTCACTTGGCTCTCACTGGAAAAAAATAAATTGTTAAAAGGACTGAAAAAGAAGGCTGTGGAGGTAAAGATGAGAAACTGACATTTAGCATTTAGAAGGAATTCATTTCTAAAAAGAGGGCCTAAAGAAATAAATGGACGAGTGAACCGGTGTTATGGACTGAATTGTGTCCCCCCAAAATATGTGTTGCAAATCCTAACCTCTATGACTGTGGTTATAATCTCATTTGGGAATGGGTAGTCTGTGTTCTGTTAATGAGGCAGGATTAGTGTAGGTTGTGTTTTGAGTCAATCTCTTGCAAGACAGAAAAGGAGCAGACTGAGTAAGCAGAGTTGGGGGAAGATAGATGCCAAGCCACATGGAGATCACCAAGGAACCAGGAAACAGCAGCTGAAGAGACAGAAAGCCTTCCCCTAGAGCCGGCATCCTGAATTCGGACTTCTAGCCTCCTAAACTCTTGAGAAAATAAATTTGTTTGTCACAGCCATCCACTTGTGGTATTTCTGTAATAGCAGCACGAGATAACTAAGACAACAGGTAAACGTGCGAAGGATGGACATTCCAGTGTGTTTACATAATTTAAAAACTGGGAACCAAGAGGCACCTGGTAAAATATGTTAGGATATGGCCATACAAAGGAATACTATGTAGTTAAAAATGATGATGTATAGCTACCTACGCTTACTGATATGGAAAAACATTTGGATTATATAGCTAGTAAAACAGAAAGTTTCCAAAACAGCATTATACTATGCAATTTTAGTCCGTATGTCCATACAAATGTGTGTAGTGAAAAAGAGGGATATCAAGATGTTAACAGTGCGTATCTCTACTTGATTTTTTCATTTTCTTCCTATTCTGTCTTTAAATATTATTTGAATTATTTTTACAGTGAGCATGTATTTTTTTGCTATATATGTTTTTTGAGCATGCATTTTTATATTTAAAACATAAAATGATTTTGAAAGTTCTCCTGAACATTTTTGCATATTTAGAATATAAACTTGGCCAGCAAAGAGACAAAATATCCCCTGGAATTTAGGTTTACATGGACGGGTGGACTGCATTAGGGGGTCCTGAGGAAGCTCTGAACCCCTATTTGGAGTTCCGCTTTGGGAACCAGTTGTTTGACCACTGACAGTCCTTTAAGTGTGGAGGCAAAAACAGCTCCTGGTTGAGTTCACCACAGTTACAAACATCACCAGCAGGTCTAAGTGCTTCTTCTTTTCCACAGTAATATATTTCCTTTCACAGTAGTAGCTCTGCTCACAATTTTTTTTCCCCTTCATTCCCACCTTCTCCTCTTTCCTCTCAATGATCCCTGTTCATTAAGTGAAAAAAGCAACATTTCAATGAAATTCTTCACTGAAAAAGCAGAATACACCAGTTCAGAGCCCCAAATAAACCACAGTGGATACAGGCAGAGGATTTCTGGCCCATTCATGAAAAGCTGAGAGACAGACTGGGAGGCCATGCTACTGCTTTTCACTCCTCGAGAAAGACCAGAATTTGAGAGGCCTGGAAAAAACAAGCAAAACTGAGGAATGATAGAGGGAGAAGATGGGCTGAGAATTAGGATTCTTTTCTCTGGAAAGATAGAAGCAAAGAAGGCAGGGATTCTTCTCTGTTTTGCTAGCTGCTGTAGCCTTAGCCACCTAGAATAGGGCCTGACACATAATAGGCACTCACTAAGTATTTGTTGAATAGATGAACCATACAGACCATAGGAAGAACACAATGACTCAGAATCAGAGACCATCAGAAGCAAATAGCTGGAGGGGGTGAGGGACAGCAAACTTTTTGAAGCCACTCCAAAATGGTTATTTGGTGGCATGGAGGTCTAATTAAAGTTTTACATGAAGAGAGACATCTAAGTTGGAATCTTTAAGAATAGCATAACCAGGCGTCTAAGGATGAACATCAAGGGCTACAATCAGATGGAGGCATCTATAATCAGCACAGCCACAGATGGTCTTTTGTTGTAGTGATGATAATGAAAATAACCTGGCTTTCTCTTATCTGTATCAACTGTTTCAAAACAGTATGTAACTTATGTAAACTTGGGTGAACCTACAACCCAACATCGGAACTAGAACATTAGCAATATCACTGAAGTTACCTGTGCTTCTTTCAATTCCACTGCCCCCAGCCTCCCAAGGTAACCTCTATCCTGAATATGTCCTCCCCCCTCCTTTTTTAAATACTATTATCTAAACTCCAGACATATTCACATTTCACCAGTTTCCCCATGAATGTCCTTTTCCTGCTTCAGAATCCAATCCAAGACACCACGTTGCATTTAGTTGTCATGTCTCCTTAGTCTCCTTTGGTCTGTGAGTTTCTGTCTCCCCGTTTTTCATGACCTTATCATTTTGAGTACTGGTCAAGTATTTTGTAGACGGTCCAGAAATTTGAGTTTGTCTAATGTTTTCTCATAATTTGAATGGTTATGAGTATCTGGAAAGAATACCAGAAGGGTGAAGTGCCCCTTTCATCACATCATATCAAGAGGTGTATGACATCCACATAACACCACTGATGATGTAAATTTGATCACTTGGTTAAGGTAGTGCTTGCCAGATTTCTCCACCCTAAATTTGCTGTTTTTTCCTTTCCATACTCTGTTCATTG